GTGTATGTGTATGTGTATGTGTATGTGTATGTGTGTGTGTGTGTGTGTGTGTGTGATGATTTTCTACATCGTGGGAACCATTTTCCATAAAAAGGCAGCCTCGTGAGGAGCAATGCCCGGTCCCCACGGGTATGGATGCTAATTTTGGGTGGGGGGTTAGGTTTAGGACTAAGGTGTGAAATGAGTTTAGTTTAGTTTTAGAGTCAGGTTTTAGGGTAAATGATCAGGATTAGGCTATAAAATTACCGGAAAATGAAAGGAAGTCAATCCATGGTCCCCATGGGCATACAAAAACAAACCTGTGTGTGCCTCGGGGAGGCCCAGCAGAAACKGTCTAAAGTAAACACAACAAGCGTCAGTATCGGTTAAACTAGCTTAGTATTTACTTGGTATCAGATTGATACATGACAACAGCCAACAGCTTAATTCTGATAATYAATGTTTTTTATGCAGATATCTTGTACAAGAGATCAAGAAAAGAGAAGGATTCCAGCTGATAATGGAAGTAAGTTTTTCACAGACTGTCTAAGTTTCACTTAGTATTTATAAATATTRATAAAAGTAATTTTGTGACGCTCATCAGTTCGTTTATTTCACCTACATCTAATTTCTTTGTTTTCCTCTACAGCCTGAATTTGCAAATGTTTGCTTCTGGTACATTCCGCCCAGTWTGAGGAAGCTTCCAGAAGGTCCTGAGCTTCGGAAGCAGCTGCACACTGTAAGAACAGGATTAAAAATATGTTGACAAATGAAGGTTATCCTGGTAAAGAAACAGTAAACCACTGAGCAGATGTGCTTTTTGGTAGATTTTTTTAATGAAAATTTGAATTATAAAAATGAAAATTATCACTACTAATTTGTTTATAAAACAAAACAACCAAAACTCAGTGTTGTGAGGAGTATTGAGCCGAACTGAATCCCTGCCGTGCTCTGTAGGTGGCGCCGGTGGTGAAGGAGCGRATGATGAAGAAAGGAAGTATGATGATTGGTTACCAGGCACACGGCGACAAGCCCAACTTCTTCAGGATGGTGGTCATCAGCCCCCAGGTCAGCAGGCAGGACCTGGACTTTGTCCTGGATGAAATACACAACCTGGGAAAGGACTTGTAATGAAGAGTCCATGGCTGCGTCCAAATTCAGGGGCTAGGTCTTTCCAATGTCCTTGATCGACCGCAAACACCAGGAAAAAAGTGGCTGTGAATTTGGACGATCTCGTCTTCTGCTTTATTCCCTCATTTACCCCAGCGTATGCCCTGTCGCCAACTGTGACGATTCTAAACAGAAGAAAAATAGATCCAAATTAGCAAAAATATCAGTGTATTAGTTTTATTAAAACAACAAAATGAGCTTAAAGAGAATATTTGAAGAACTACTACTTCTAACAGACCTGCCATACGTGAACACATTTACTTTGCTGTACCAGCTTGTTTGATTTCTGACAAGAATAACATTAAAAAAATGTCGATGCACATTACAAAACCATTAACAACACCACCGCTGAAAATGTTTCATTTTTATATCACCAGGTTTTTATTTAAAACTGTATTCCTTTCTCTCGCTTRGTCCATCATCACGAGCAAAAACAATCTCAGGTCGGCACCGCAATGCATCTTG